TCGAGTTTCTAATAGATTTTGCTTCCAATATTATTATAGGTTTTGCCATCGAAATTTTTATCGAATCTTTCATCGATTTTGTTATCGATATTTTTGTCGGTTTTGTTATCGATATTTTATTGGATGTTACTATCGATTTTGTTATCGATAGAGTATAAAGATAAAAAAGAATATAAAGGAAAACCGAAAAAAATAAATGTAATTAGAATGAAAAGGGGTAGATGTAGGGATCTATATAGAAAAAAAATAAAAAATATAACATTAATCAAAAGCAGATGTGTGAACGTATATACATATGTATGTATGTATATTAGTTATGAGACAAAATAGATATGTTTGTAATGTAAGTTTCATTTCTCCAGTGTGGCCCAGGCGCACTCACTTTTTTTAATCTATTTATATATATATATATATTTAACACTGCAATCTTCGTTTTCTATGATACTTCGTTTTTTTTCCTCACTTTAAATTTGGATAGCTTTCCCATACGTATTCGTAAGTTGAAGAAAATAATTTTTATTTATGTACGAGCTATTGTAACATTTTTAACAGTTGGCTGCTTATCCTCCAAGCAAGAAATGTTCCTTTATTTTTGTTACTTGTTTTAGCTACATAAACGTACATTTTATAACACCAAGTAGTTTGCAAATTTTAAAAAGTTTTCTGACCTGTAGTAGTTAACTGTAATGCAAAAAAATCAACTTTTACACCCCGAGCAACCCTTCTCTTAGCATTCAAAGGAAATTGGCAACCATCCCGATATCTAATTTTCAATAATAACTTGACCGTACTAAAAATAACGACAAATAATACTAAGCATGTATTTACTTGGTTAAAATTGATTTTCAATAAATAATTTTTATTTTTTTTTCAAATATTTAGCCATAAATCATCGGAGACTTTTCATATGACTAAATAAATGTCAGAATTTGTAGACGCAGTAAATGTTAAAATAATGACAACAAATTCTTGAAACAACACAGGTTTACAAAAAAAAAGTTTCTGCATATTGAACCAAACCTCTATATTCCCATGTTATTCGACGCCCTGAAGGCAAATTTGAGGTCTGTTAGTCTCCATCACGTCAGGGTCGACTTCATTTGAATGTCAAGTAGGGAAAAATTCATTGAATAAACCTGAAAATTCAATACAATTTCTTTGAATTTGACCTTGGTATGACCTTGGCATGACAACTTGATGACCCTGAAGAATTAGGGGACTCTCATATTCGGATTTAGCGACAACAAAAACAAAATTTTTATTTTATTTTTTAATTAATAAATTTTCTGTCTTATTTGACCCTAAAATGACCTCTAACCAGACATTATGAAGGTTAACAGACCTCGGATTCGAGTTCAGCGAGTCTTGAGCCTCATAAACATAAATTTTCAGGTTTATTCAATGAATTTTTCCCTACTTGACCTTTAAATGAAATCGAACCTGACGTGATGGAGGCTAACAGACCTCAGATTCGCATTCAAGGCGTCGATTAACATAGGGATGTAGAGGTTTGGTTCAATATGCAGATTTTCTTTTTATGTAAACCTGAGTAATTATCTGAGATAATATTAATATTGGTATAAATTGTTTAGCAATCTGTAGATGTCCAAGTCTTTTTGCTCGTAGTTTATCTATGACCTATGACTTCACTTTGCCATCCACTGTACATAAATCCATACATATGTATGTATGTATGTACCTACATTGCTTGCTTTATGATTGGGCAAGTAGAAGCAACACCGAAAACTAATAAAAGAGCAACAAAAAAATGCGTGTATAAAAACTAACTCTTCACGATTGTGTTTAACGCCTAATTCTTTCTTTACAATCGACCAGCAACCCAATCTTATGAGAAGCGTTCAAAAAGTGCTTACAAACTATGTAGCTAAATTAGAAAGCAAGACATTGCACTCTATGAAATAAAAAAAAAGAACACAAAGATAAATAAAAACAAAAAATTTAAATAAAAACCTAAAAAGCCAACAGCTGAAAAAATATAATAACAAGAAAGCAATAAACGAATGATTTTCCGCTTCTATACACACACATACATACAAGTGTATGACTTATAAAAAATTTGGCATTATTTGGCAAAATATAGAAACCTTATTTTTATTTTAATTGTTTGAAGCGTGAAAGCAACCAAACAACAAAGCAGTGAATTAAAATATTATACATACATATGTACATGCATAAAATTAGCGCTCTTGTGAGCTAAATATAATATACATAACGTATAAATTTGACTACGCAAAAATGCGAAGGAAAAAAATTAAGATATCTACAGACCTATAATATACACACATACATATGCATAACAAATTTATTTTTGTGCAAAAAGGTTCTTGCCTAAAAGCGACAAATATGAACCACAAGATGAGTTTAAAAAAATCGGTATTTTCGTGTATTTTGCTGCTGGTAAAACAAGTGTATAATTAATAATAGAGAAACAGAAACTTACTGTATACCTGAATAAATTTAGAAAGTTCTAAGCCATTTACAAAGTAGTAGTTCAAATATTATTAACAGCGGATGCTTTTTGAAGCCTTTAAGGTATGTATCAATTCGCATTTGTTTTTTTAAATAATTTCGAAATATTTGAGTTATGTACCTAATAATTAAATTAACAAATGTGTATATGTAAATCAAACGTTTATTTTAATTACTAAGCTACAGTTGAGTTTAGCGCCGAACGCAACTCAACTACACACATAGGACATATTGTCGTCTAAAACCCGCATCCGTTGTTCTGCAAAACCTCGTAACTGACATTTGTGCTCTCCGGAAGAATCTGCCATCAAGCCTTATCTATTCATTCTAAAATACATATCGATTTATAAAACTATGGGGTGGGAAATTTTAATGTTTGTATTTCGGACCCTCAACAAAATTAATTCCAAACGTGAATATTTGTGCGAGGTAGTTAAATATTAAGAGATTTTCGTTTCAATTCGTTACCAGGGCTGCCAGACGTTTAGAGTCTAAAATCCGAACACGGACAAAAAGTGGTGGGTGAAAAATCCGTACGCTCAAATTTGTTTGGAGAGCAAAAAAATCGTTGGTACTTAGGTGAACACAGGAATCGTACTTTTAATAACATCAAATAAAGCAACACATATTACCGCTAGTCCTCTTTATTGATTGCTTCACAGACAACCTTATTATTTTTCTGACAAGAATTTTTTAACAAGCAGTGTGTTCTTAGTTTATGTACATGCAACAAAACTTTTCAGGTAGGTTTTCGATCCTACCGATTAACAGTGTAATGTTTGAAGCGATGGTTAAAGTTGAAAAAATCAAGAAAAATTGGGTTATTAAATTTTTAGCGACAAAACTTCCCAACAATTGAAATCTACCAATAGATTGTTATATATAATCTTAGATGCCTATAAATCCTCTTCTCATATTCGATTTTTAAAATCGGGTGAAAAGTTGTCAAGCCGTTAGTAGATAAGTCCCTCAAGTACGAAAATAGCGCATTTTTTAATAACAAAATTAGAGGTTCAGGAAGTATAAGAAACCTATGAGATATGTGTAAAGCAGGGAAATGTTTACAATACGAAAAAGGCACTCCGAAAATCAGTACAAAAATCCGTACATTTTGACTGAAAGCAAATCCGTACCGTACGGAAAAATCCGTACATCTGGTAGGGCTGTTCATTACACTTTTTTTTAATACTAAACAAAAGCTTTAGGGCTGCTTTCTCCAACTCAACTTACCTTAGTTTAGCCATTTTTTTGGCTTAAGTCAAAAGTTAGCCTATTTTTTACACAGATTATTCTTGACTAAGTCTAAAAAATTGGCTAAACTAAGTTGAGTTGGAGAAACCAGCCCTTAATGTTCTGGTCTCAAGTCCCAGTTATTGATTGCCCAGTTTTCACGATCCGGGATTTTCACTAAAACCTTTATGTAAAAACAGATCTTTTTGGTAATTAAAAACTGGTCCATGTATGCATGTATGTATAAGTATAAGCTCGGATCAAGCTTTCTCATTAATGAACAAAAGCAAAATTTTGTGTGCACTTAAACAATGATCACACGATTTGTACATTTGAACAGATTTGTATATTTTGGCAGTCACAGAGGTCTAGAAATAATGAGCTCAGCTCAATAACAAATTTCCAAACAATACCACCCTGTAATTGTGAAATTGTACAAATCGCGTGATCCCCGCTCTAGGGGAAATTGAGAAAATCGTGCAAGCCTTTTTGATATAATTTTGACCACTTTCGCCAATTTAATATGTATTGTGGAGAAAACAGCTGCCATTTTGTTCGATTCAATTCGAAACGAATAATCACAATGACTACTCGTTCTAGAAAGTTACAACCCCTATAACGTTTTAAGCAGCCAAATATATCAAAATAAAAAAATAAGTGTATATTTTTTCGGTATAGAACAATTCTAGGGGGTGAGGGCATAAAAATTCTGATTTTAATTAATTTGGACCACCCCAATGAGCTCACATAAATTAAATGTTTCTTGTTCTTACCGTTCATATATGGCTTTAAAACTAATTGCTACAAATGAGACTAACTTAAAAAGGAAGTTACGCCAATCCACATTAAAGTATTCAGAATTAAAAAGCGATTATGTTTAAATTCATTTAATCTTTGTTTGGATTTTATTTATATTCTCAAAATTGTATTTAGACGTAAAATTTGTTCCCATAAGATTTTAACAAGTTTTAAAATATAGGTGACTACTCATCACTGAATATTTCATTATTAATAATTTCTAAAAAAAATTAGAAACTTGCAACGAGACGAAAGTAATTAATGTATGTAT